AAGCAACTTAGCCCGACGTTGTATTAATACTAGTACTGCTGTTAATCATAGCAGATAAGCCTGCTTATTATTACCCGTAGTCCTGCTATTTTTGCTATTCTAGTTCTTCATGCTGATTTCCTTCCCGAAGTTGTATTAGTACTAGTATTGCTGACATTAATAGTACATACGTCTGCTTATTACTGTATTACCCGTAGTCTTGCTATGTTTGTTCTTCTGACTTTTCATATTGCCTTCCTTCCTTCCTTCCTTCCTTCCTTCCTTCCTTCCTGCGTTCTTCCTTCCTGCGTTCTTCCTTCCGTCTCCCCTCGTTCCTCCCTTCTTCATCCTTCCCGCTTTCCTTCCTTCCTGCCTCCCTGCCTTCCTTCCTTCTTTTTGCTTCCTTCCTTCCTCCCCGCTTTCCTTCCTTCCTTCCTGCCTTCCTTCCCGCCACCCCCCGCCCCCCGGAGGGACGAAAAAACAAGGGCCAAGCAAAAAAATGGACCAAAAAAAATAGGGTCCCCTGTAGTATATTCTAATATAGAACATTAAAGTATATTACATTATGTCACTGTATCGTACATGATGAGTGGCTCAATGTAAACCAGTGGGTGGATCGGCTCCGGAGGCGCCGCGAGATCATTGATTCTCACGAAAGTCAGCTCGGCCACCAAGCCTCAGCTGGAGAAAAGGATAGATGCAACTGGCTCACAACCACAAGCTACGTCCCCGGCGAGAGGCGCGACATGAGCAAGCAAGAGACTACAGGGAACGGCGAAGGTAAGAGAATAACACTCGGTTAGATCCAACTGCGGCCCAGAAGCGGTTCGTGTCACCAGCAAGAAGAATCTCCTTCATGGCCTCCAGGACCCACCCCGGAAACAAGTTATCGATCTCTCTCTTGAAAGATGACTTTAAGGCAACCCGGTTCCACAGAAACAACGCAGAATGAGAGGCACGCTCTTGTTTACCTAAGGCGAGGCTCCGTCCACAACTTTTTCATGATAACCCCGCCTTAAACTGCTTGAGAAGTCGACCCGCGCCAAAGATGCGCTTGTGCAGATCCCACTCCTCCACAATGCTGCGTTCAGTGTCAACTGGTCGAGAGATGTAGTTTCGTGTCGAGATATCGTGCGGTGTTGGATTGCAGTTGGGAGAATGGCAGTCCTATCGCATAGTAGACAGGTTGAATGCCTTAATTAGCCTTTGGGACCCAGCGTCCTGCGCGAAAAAAAGTTCCATCAGCGCCTCTGCGGACATGGGCCGAGGCAACGGAGGTGATTGCAGTGGGTTCTTGTTAAACATCTAAGGACTTTATTTAAGCTATCATCATAAGGAAATCCCACTATTTACTAAGATGCCCATTATGGTAACGTATGGTAACTTGATTTACGGATGGAGGTCCAGACTGGTCACGAACTTGGAGACGGCATGGTGACCAGTAGTGTGACAGGAATTCCGTGACGAATTTTGCGATAAAACTCAACCGAGGGCAACCATGCCAGTGTTGCTCATGACTCGTCTAACATTCCTGGTAGGATGGAGGCGAGTCAGCTGCGAGAGTCGAGAACAAGCAGGAGACGGTCACGAACGGAGAGGGAGCAGGAGGCAGCAACAGCAGGAGGCTGAGTCGGGAGCAGCGGCGTCACAGTCAGGAACAGAACACCGGAACAGACAAGGTTAAATGTAACAATGCTAAAAACTGCTGAGTGCATCTCTAAGATTCTGCAAGGCTGAATGATATGCTATAAAAAGTTCGGACTGAGAGATTTATATAAGCCCATCCGGCAAACTGGTTCCCGTAGAGCCACCTGGCTATCTGGCATCTCGGTTGTGTACCAGTTAACCAGTTTTGTATGGCAGCACCCACATGCTAGAAGGCCATACACCCCACACCGGTTGAAAAGGGGTGTTGCTTGATCCCATCCTACTGTGTGCTACGAACCTGTTTATGTTAAGCACTGCCGCTGCAACATCAAGCGTTCGACAAGCATCGGGGCCCACTAGACAACGACAGCCCTTGGGGTACATTGGACTTTGTACTGCAAGTGCACCGGGCTTACAAAGCAAGACAAATCCTGCTGTTGATGCTTGTATAACAGTGTTTACAAAGAAGCTAATGGCAATAGCTACCAGCATGCTCAGAGAAATACGAGGTTTCAGATGTACGGTTTTTGAGGCTTGTACTGCTTATAGGATCTATCGACGAGCAGGAGCGTTGAGCATCTGACATAGAGCGCATTCAACCACCGCCAATTTTTCCACTACAACGGTGTCTCGGCGACCTATACTGCTGGCACGTCGCATGAAAGAGGCGAGCCAGGTGCCGTTCACCCTCATCAATAGATCACCAACAGCTAGTGTTGCCCTCATTGCTGTTGTGGTAATTAGCTTGATTGAGTACTATTGCTGTTCAAACTGCTGCCACAGTCAATCTTGCGACTTTGTTTACAGCATTTATCAAAGCAAAAATCTACCAATACAAGCAGGGTTAGACACAATGGACCATTGATGTCGTAGTGGATTTTCGTTCTCGACTCGGCTCCGGGCTGTTCCTGACTGACTTGTCTCGGGGGTATTCCGGACTTGTACCCTGTTTCTTCCGAACTCAAGCGTTCTTGACTCAAGGGGTATGGCGCAGACTCGTCTAACATTCCTGGTAGCACAGATATTGGGCAAATCATCGCCGAGTCGCTCAGGTGCTGCACTGGCATGCTAGAAAGCATCTTTCAACATCGCACTTTTGTGATCGTCAGTGGGGCTCCACAGCAGGGTATACCCCACTCACCCAACCAATGTCACTCTTAGGCCTACGGGTACAGCCCTACAGAAGGACCCCACACCCACGACTGACTGCCAGCCTGGGCCGGGACGACGTTGAGAGAACTTCGGGCGGTGCGCTCGACGAAAATCTGCCTCATCTTCGTCCGTATGTGTTCTGTGTTACTGCGAATCATTCTTCGAGGTGATGGTATACTGGCTTCTGTATATGTCACATTCATTGTCTCGCGATTTTTGCCGTGCTTGGTGCCAACATACCAACGGTGGTCATCGTCGTCATCCTCACATGATCATGATGATGAACATCATCATCGTCTTCATCATCACCACCACCATCACTTTCACCATCATCAGCAGCATCAAACTTTAGCGATTCTGCACACGCGCATGCTCCCTGTCATGTTGAGTTGTGCATACTCTTGGCTCTCCGGTTCTGTCGCTGTGACTATTTTACTGAATTTAGCTGTTGGCGGCGTTTCAACTCCTGCTGTTCATGTTGCTGATTCACGCTGTTCCGCTACCAAAGCATAAACGCGACGCTGGTAATATTCTATCGCTCATCATCTCTCAATTCAATCATCTTGATTATGCTCCTGAGCACTATGAATAGTACTACGGTCCTGGCTGAATTCTGCTTACGGTGCTGAAACGTAGTAGTACACCAAGTTCATCACCATCGCGCACTAGCTTCTGCTTCCATTGACGTCGCTGCTAGTGTTTTCACCTTTCGAAGCTTCGAAGAGCTCTCCATGCCCTAAACCCTGGTTTCGACAACAACTCGTGGGCTGATGCCTTAACCCGCAGCGCTAAACTTAAAGAAGAACCATCTCAAGATGCCTACTATCTCCCATTCCCGGAAAGGGAAGCTGCAAACAAGGGCACATGGAGGCGCTCCGGTGCATGGGCCCAGAATCACGGATGGCTGGCCTGGAGGCGCTCCGGTGCATGGGCCCAGAATCACGGATGGCTGGCCACTGCCAGATCTCGGTCGAGGATAGCTTTCGAGGTTTGGCTTGGGGTTTAGGGTTTAGGGTTTAAGGGTTTAGGGTTTAGGGTTTAGGGGACTTGGATGTGTGGTTCTGGCTAAGATGTTTTGCCATAAGGTTCTTGTCGAGCTCGCTCTTGCTGGTCCTATCCGACTCGTTGGGTCTGAGCCTCTCGGGTTTAAGTTGTGGCTATCAGAACAGCTCAAGTGGGTCTTTAAAGTGTTCAGGCATGGGAGTTGGCAGCCCAAGCCCGGGATTTAGCTTTGCGGTGCGGAGTGGGAGCTGTGTCAGCGAATGTTTATCAATCTCAAAATAGTTAAATCCATAGATAAGTAAATAAATATACATATATCTATATATATATACACACGCTTATTTAAATTTATATATCTGATACTATGATACATTTTTACACACAAACACACATGATCAGAAACCAGTCAACCCCTCAACACTGAAACCGTAAAACCTAAAGCAGGACTGGCGTGTGGAAACAGATTTCCGGCCGCACAGCCCGGGGACCGGGTCACCAAACTTTTGCAAGTCCTGCTCAGCTCGATCCAGGGAAGCATTTCGTACGCGTTTTGCAAAGCAAAAAACGGGTTCCGGATTCTAACAGACAGTCAAGCTCACGCTGAAGGAAGCCATGCATTGCAGACGCGTGCAGCGCATTTCGAAAAGCTTGCGAAGGATGACAGGGAGAGCATCGGGCAGAACAAGGCTCCTGTTGCAAACTGAACAGCGATGTCGCCGCCGTCCTCACGGATCAGCATGTGCAACCCTGACACCAAAACCACACAAAGTCTCCAAAACGCTTCACTGCCTTCACCCTCCAAGCTCTTCTGGCCCCCGGCTCAACTGCAATGAGAACAACAAACTGACAAAGGCGAGAGTACCAGGGCTGTAACTCAAAATGCCATTTGCCTATCGGCCTATCACGCGGACGCACATGAGGAGCAAGGTAAGGCAGTCCTCGACGTCCGCCGGCTGTTTCGCTGAGCATTCGGATCCTGCAAAATGGTTCCTCTTAGTTCCACTGACATGATGTGACAGCCCCGCACCATGCAATGCTGGAGTCACGGGTGAGCGGACTCTCCTGTGCGAACTGAAGTCCGATGAAGTCAGCGAGTAAGTTCACCAGCTCATCCATCTCCTCCACGCTGTAACCTCGGAAACTGTTGATGTCCACGACATGACGACTGGCAACTATAGAAGCTATGCCAGCCATGCTCATGTTCGATTCAAGGCTCGTGTAAGGCCCAAAGCCACCACTGAGTCGTGGAGCGACCTTCCCGACACCAACCTTATCTCGGGCCGCAAAAAGGCTCTGCACAAGTGCCCGGCCCTAAACCTTAAACCCAGTGTGTCTCGTCCCTTCTGCGTTTCTCTTTCCGGGCCTTAAGGGCCCATGACATCTGTTAGATTACAGGGCAAGTCTGAAAAGTTCCGAGCCAGGAAAATACAAAACACTAGTAATAGTCAGCAACAGTAAGAATAGTACTAACAGTAGCAATCGTGGTGCAAACTAAAATGAAAATAAATAACAGTAGTAGTAGTAGTAGTAGTAGTAGCAGAAGTAGTAGTAGTAGTAGTAGTAGTAATAGTAGTAGTAGTAGAATTTCATTAG